AGATTTGAGTTTGAGTTTATCTGGCTTAGGCTCTGTGCTACATTCTGCCTGAGAATGCCAAACCAAGGCCACTAAATTAAAAAGAGGCCCAGCATATATTTGGACAAACCACTGAGGCTACGAACCCTTCAGCAGACTAAGCCGTGCAAAAATCAAAGGAAAAATGACCAAGCAACCGTAAACGTTAATACACTGCTCCAAAATAGTGCTGAAATTTATGAAAATGTGTCCCATCTTACAGAAAATGGGACTTGAGCATTTTAACTTCCGTTAAAAAAAGAAAAAGGAAGGGGAAAAAAAGCGCAATACAATTTATACGGGGAGGCAGGTCACAGCTCCCCCAGTCTTGATCCGTTTACCAGATTCTGAAATCAAAGAGTAGAGCCTGTCTAGACGTAGACGACCTCCTACACAATACATCTTAACTGGGAGGAAAAAAAAAAAAAAGATTTTACACCAAAATGACACATGATGTGGAAACACACTCAGCTCAGCCCAAGAGAGCTCATTTTATGAAATGTAAGCCGTCATTATTGAATTTCTTGTCAACCTTCACTCTTCCTCTCATACGCTCTCAATACAAGCTCCTAAAATTACACACAGTACAGAGATGAGGGGAGGAAGAAAGAGGAGGGGGAGATGAAGGACAAAGAACAGACCCAGGAAAGGTCCTCAACTGTCTGCCTAGAAGAGTCCAACAAACTTAATGAATTAGGTTTCCTCCCGACACCAGAAGATCCTTCAGGGAGTTAGCAAAGGCTCAGATTTAATGAAGTCAAACAGCTTTTGACATCAGTGCATTTTATTTTGGTGGTATTTACAAAGTGCTGCTGACTTGCCTAAATCTTAAAATGAATTACTTTCCATTATCTCCCCCATTTTAATTAAAATTAAGTACTAAAAAGGAATTGTGCAATTGATGAGCGCTTTCTTTTAGTGCAGAGTAGAGTATTGAACAAGGAAATACATTAGAACAAGCACAGAATGAGTCTGGCTTTGCAGATATCCCTATGAAAAGAGAAGAACGAGTTTTTTGTAGAGGAAGTGATGACAAAATTCAAGTTTAAGACGATGGAGATGAAAATAAGAAAAATGTGTCACCATCTGCACAGCATGTGTTGTACCACCATCCACAGCAGATGAGCATCATAACTCTGCCTGGATCTCTGGGGTTTCGGTCCGTATTTGACAGAGAACATAAACAATAACAAATGTAAATAGAAATGGGCCTATGTCCTGAGATTTTAAAAATGTATGGCTTTCAAACTGCTTCTCGACTGGCTCCATCATTTACAAACATAATCTTACTTAGACAAATTATGCCATTTGAAAATATGTTTGGTTGTATAAATTAGGGATGCACAGATCCACTTTCTTCACATTCGATACCGACAAAGATGTTTGAGATTTACCATCAGCAGATACCGATCTGAGACAGAAAAGAAGTCCATAAAAACATTTCTTTATAAAAGAAAAAAAACCAAACAACAAAAAACACAGACATGAATGCAGTAAATTATACATTTGATAACTCTGCACCAATACAGCATACTTAAATACTTCAACTGCTTCACCAGCTTGGTCATACATGTAGAAACAACTCAACTTTAATTTGTTAAATCAGTTAAATTAGGAGTATAATGCATGCTGACAAAAACAATATATTGACTACCTAGGTCAAACATAAAAAAACTGCAACAAACCTTTGAGATAGTTCTGAAAATGCAATTAGGAATTCTAAATATGATGTAAAATAAATAATAAAGCACGATGTCGCTCAAGTCTATGCACCAAGCATAGAATTAGACTAAACAGATCTGCCCTTATGGATCATCATCATCATAGCCACTGATATTGGATCTAGAATTGTTTTCAATATTGGGACCAATACAGATATTAATATATATTCATTTTAAATGTTGACATCTACCACAGTGTACAAAGCCCATTAACAGCTCAACACATTTGGAATATACAGTCTTTCCAGCTCTCTGTGATATTTATACTGTAAACACTGATAATGAAGCAGCCCTATTTTTATTTTTATTTTTTTTGCTCAAATCTATTGAAATAGTAAAATGCTGATCTGATCCACTTTGTGTGCTCTCCACCCAGAATTTGTTTTGCTACTGGATTTATTGTAATTTCAAAAATAACAAGCAGGACATAGATGCATATAATCAGAATATTATTCTGATTATATTATTTCAGTAACTCAAGTCAATAAGTGAAACAGTTTATAGAAATTACACAGACTGATGTTTTAAAGCCGTCGTTTCTGTTAATGATGACAATTTTCCACCTGCATCTAATGAATACATCACATTTAAGTTTATAGTACATGAAACCAATAAAATCTATAATTGGTTTTTACTAAATATGACTATAAATAGAGAATAATAGCAAAAAAAAAAAAAGTTTCAATAAAATTTTTGCCTTCTACCTCGACTTTGGCATAAAACATGAATTGCATTCAATCAAGAAACCTTAAGGGAGCAATAAAGTCTTTGGAATGCCATCATGGGGCGGATGAACACATAGCCAGGGATTTAAACCCCATAGGTGGTCTCTGTGAGGCAGGGGCCTACAGACACAAGTGGCAGAACAATAGTGTGACCCGGAGGTCAACAGGGCGATGCAGACACAAATAGGCAGGATTAATCAAACGTCAAACATGAACAAGAGTTTCATTGTTGGTTCATAATGTCCCCCTAAATCTAAAACCATGCAAACCTGACAGCTGAATGGTTGAGAAAACGGCACCAGTTCAGCAATAACATGTTTAGACATTTCTCCACCGCCGTTTATCAAACACAGGAACCAAAACTAATTATTTAATTGGGCAGAATTAACATGCTAATTGTTCATTTTTTCTCCCCCCCAAACAATAAATGACAAAATTCTTAAGTCAGCTACTGAACTCAAAAACTTATTTGAGTCTAGAGCAGTTTGTTTTAACAACAATACAGCCAATTTACAATAAGAAGAGAAAAATCCCTAAATCTTTTCAGAATATGTTGCAACCTATTAAGAGGGTAAAGTGACTTAAAATTAAAACACAAATGTAACAATTCAACAGTTGTGCACAAAACTAACATTTTATGACTCCTTCAAATGCTACCATCACATAATTGCACTGGACTTGTCTTGTAGCTTACAGAGTCACAACATTGACCCTTGCTAATGCCTTTAACCTTTCCTGCTCTCATCCTCCACAGACTTTGAAGGTCTTAACCCAAGTAGCCACTTATAAAGGTTAATTCTGCTGGCAATTTGAAGCAGCCTAGTGGAGCTTTTAACATCATCAGCAAAACAATAGAGTGACTGTTTCCAAAAGACAATCTAAGAGTAATTAGCAGGATGTTTGCAATCAGTGAACAAAAAACTAACCAGTGATTACTTTTGATAAGTTGTGCTGAACTAAAAACTTTTCCTTACATTTTTAAAGTTGAGTGGTAATCTATTCATTTGCTTAAGTTCTGTTGGACCAGTGTCCTAAAAGCTGCAATACACCGGCCCTCCAGGACCAGACTTTGACATCACTGCCTTAATTTACCACACTGACGCAACAGCCTGTTAGGTCACAATCCACCGAGATGCCAAGCTATTCCAACAAAAATGATGACTCATGTTAAATACATATTGCAACATTTTGCTGTGATGGCTGCTTTTACATAGAAGTTATAGCAAATTACTGACTGGCATCGCGCTTTTTGGTCAAGACGGTACAGAAACGGGACAAACAAAACGACAAACCAAGCCAACAAGATCGCATCCGCCATTCCAGCTGACAACTGGCACGCTGAAAAAGACTTTGGACTTCGTAGGAACCCGCATCGCCTCACTGATACCATCTCTACATGTACCGGCAAAGCCAATTCCACCTTGAAAGAAAAACAAAAAACCTTTTTTCCTAAGCACTCTCATTTCGAATTTAATCATAGATTTACATTTCAATACAGAATCTGAAAGACATTGCTGCAAACAGGAATTTCTTCTGACCTGAATTTAGAGGTATCTCTAAATTCTTAGTGCGTTGACCCTTTTTTGTAATCTCCAGACAAGTCAGAGTACGTTTTGAAATAGACTTTTTTTTAAGTGACTCTTGATATAGAAGAAAAAGCAACTTCAGTGTAGAAGTGGTATAAAACATTCATTTTAACATTTTCTTTTCTTTCATGTCAAGTCGAGAACCAAACGGCAAAACCAAAATAAAAAGATTAGTTTCAAAAGTAGCAGCACATATATCTGCAAGCGCTCTACTTGAAATCATTTCACCAAAGTTTTATCCTTATTTCAGAAACCCATCTTAAAATTTCCTCTTCCGTAGTTTATTTTAGCAGAGATGAGAGGGAAACTGCAATTATGTTCTTTCTGATCAAGTGAAGATTAATCACGGCGTGAACAAAAACCAACATGTTTTGAAGCTTGCTGAGCTGATGCAAGCCTATGAAATAGAGAAAGGCTGATGACAAGATAAAACCTTCTTAGAGGAAACTGAGCACATCTCTTGCTTTCACTTCTGAGTTTTTCTTGTGAAAGTTTAGCTGCGTTCAAACAAATTCCAGATTAGTGTGTCAACTCGTTGAAAGGGATGACACTTGCACCGATGCTAAGATTTGAAATTAATGCAAGAGAGTCAGTGTAAGCAGCAGACATGTTGCTGCATCAATGTGTTTTACATTTCTGATGTCAGTTTAAATTTATGGAGCCATCTGAGTTCTGGATAATCTGGATACCACATCACACGCACTCACATCTGCAAATATCTTTTTGTTTATACAGCCAAGTAATTATGGGTATGTTCTTGTGTGGATCTATAAAAATATGTGTAAGTCAAGCAAAAGCTTGGATGGGAAATTTATTTGATTTGTGGGCTAACTGGTTGAAAACTATGAACCAAAACCACATAAAATGTGACACGTACAGAGAAATACAAAAACATATTAACCTAAGCAAGAAAACTGAACTTTTGATTAAGTAAAAGAAAAGCGTCTTACCTGATAGTAGGCTTTAATCTGCCTGATGAGAATAGAAAGGTTCTGAATGCGCAGTGTAGGGTCATTGTTTACTTTCTTGTTGGTCCTCTGCACTGTTGCTTTTGGATTTCTATATATAAGACAAGAAAATTAAATTTTATTTTATATACGTTTTCAAATATGGTACAACATAATGAGAAAACTCAAAAACATGATTATGTACAGCAAACCACACACTTTTAAAGGCAAAATAAAAAAAATAAAAAAATTAAATCGTTTCAGATCTAGAGAAGAAATGTAGACTCAAGGAAGACGCTACAAAGTAATACAAGCTGATTTTGCTACAAAGAGATATTAAAAGTGTCCATCATGTCCTGAGCAATGTGCTTTATCTTTTTAATTATTCTGGTTAGAAATCTTCTGTTGACCACGATGCTGACCAGGGGTCTTCCTGTGTTGTTTGAGAAACAACACAGAGACTCTTATAACACCGACATCAATGTAAAGTTCTATTTTTTCAAGTTAATTTTTTTTCATGAACTTCAAATCGACAATACATATCCACATTACGACCTAATTTTGAGTCAAATGCTTGATTTATCCTCTTAAAGCAGAAGGAGGAGGTGGGGTCAGATTGTTTATGAATGGATGGAAGCTTGCAGTGAGGCAGCAAAAGTGAAGTCAAGCATGTACTTGCATCATATTGCATATAGACATCTGATCTGTTGTACCATCCTATGTATAATAATTTACTTATTCATTTACTAATTCAAAGAAATAAAAAATTTAACTTTCTCAAAACTCAGAGTAGAAATGTATAATCAGTTTCTACTCAATTGCCTGCTTGTGGCTCATATAGATAGAAAACATGTTTTATATGTAGAAATATATAAAGGTCTAAAATGAACTGTTGCTTTCCAGAAACCTGCCAAGATGCTGAAACACGATTCCTTTAAATAAAGGCTATATGTTCCGCTTCCTTTTATTAGTAGGAAGTGGAACATTCATCAACATATTTCATGTATTTGATTTATAACCAGGAGTCTAAAAATATAATAAGCCTTAAAATTTAAGATGCCAAACAAGGCATGAATGTAAGTTTTACATAAAAAAAACCAACTAAACATTTTACCTAATTCAACAGGCTAAGTTTTGTATATGTCAATTAGCCTTAGGCCAGCCTTCACCCTAATACACACAGAAAAACATTAATGCTAATTGCAGAACACAGGGTTCTTTTAATTCTGGTCTAAATGAACCCCCATGTGACTGCTCCATCTCTCCCCTTCACACACACAGCCCCTTTCGAAGCCCATTGTGGGGGGTCTGTTTAACTCAGTAATTAAAATCACAGAGGAGGCTATAATCCTATCAGGGCGAGCAGGGTAATGTGGTGTGTGAGAGAAAAATGGCATTCCTTCATCGTCGTTGCAGTCAGCTGACAACATGACGGTCACAGAAACACAACCAAAACATCGCTTTGTGGATGCAGCCCCTAACCAGCATAGGGCGGCCTGACGCACTCTTTGATTAGTAGGCAAATAAATACAGAGACTTACAGCAGTAACGGCTGTCAAAAATACGCTTATTACCCCCACCCGCCCTTCTTAATCCGGCTGATACAGTAAACCTAACACTTTAAATACACGAAAAGATTAGGGATGACCAGCCGAAGCCAGTTCAATTGCCAGGAAGGTAGACAACTCTTGGGCCAGACGGCCGGTCAGTAAGCCAACCCGTTGGTGATGTCCGTCGTCGCCCCAGCCTCAGACCCCGGGGCCGCTGGGCCCCCTCCTCCCATGTCCCGCCTTTGATTGGCTGAGTGAGTTATGGAGTAGTGTTAACCTATATATGACAGGCTGAATTAGGCTCAGCTTGGGCAGCCACGCACATACACACAGACACAGAAACCGGCCTAAATGTGCGCACACATACACACAAAGAAAGAGAATGCAGGCTAGATTTGGCCACGTGTTGGAGCTAGGGATTATAAGCTGTACAGTCCAAGCACAGCGGGGCGGTGTGGGCTTGGCCCCTGAAGTGTGCCAGGCAACGCGAGCAGAGAAGCACTTAAGCCCAGTGTAGGTTAATAGTTCAGTTTGTGAAAATGAGAAAAGAAAATAGAACCTGGCACACACTAAAATGTCTAATCAGGATTTCGACAAGGATCTCAAATCTAATAATGTATATCCAAATTATTTTTGATACTGAAGTCTCGGAGTTGACAACAGAAACTGAATTATAAACAACTCTATAGAGAAAGTTACGACCTTAGCGTAAAATCTCCCTAGTTCAATAAACTACACTCACCAAGCGCTTGATTAGGTAGAGCCGTCTGCACATACAAATCCGTCAATCACACAGTTATGCTTCTAGATAAGGTGGCGATGACTCTGATGTTCCAACCAACCATCAGAATGCTTCAAGTAACTTTGAACCTTGCATGGTTATCGGTGCCAAGCAATTGGGTCTGGTCTCAGTATTTTAGAAAATGCTGATCTACTGGGATTTTTTTGTGCAATCTCAGGATTGCAATGAATTATGTGCAAACTGGTTGCTCGTTAATGCCATCTCTGAATGTAAAACTTGTCGAACCTTAAAGGAAGATGGGCAGTAAGACGCACCCAAATGCTACTTCTGTCAGTCAAGAACAGGAAACTGAGGCTGCCATTCAATCAGACAGGTGCCTGGTTTAATTAGCTTAAATCTCATCTGCAGTATTCAAATAATGGGGTGAAAAATTGGCATAAACAACATTCAGTCATCCGTTGTGACCTGTATTCATGGTTGAGGTCGGAGGCATAATTGCATGAGGGATACTTTCTAGGCACACTTTCAGCCCCTTATCAACTAAACCTCAAACACACCACAACCTACCTGGGCTTTGCTACTGACCTTTACAATCACAGTGTACTCATTTTCTAAAGGTTACTTCCAGCAGGATAATCCACCATGTTGCCAAGCTCCACTAATCTCAAACCCATTTCTTGAACACGACAGTGTTGTCGATACATCTCAAACCAATAGCGCGCCTTCGGGATGTGGTGGAATCGGAGGTTTGCGTCACAGACAAATCTGCAGCAACTGCCTGATGCCATCACGTCAATATAAACTGAAAACTGTCAGGTATGAAGGTTTAAAGGCTGGTCCAACTCGGTACTCGAAAGGTTTACTCGCTCATTTAATGCAAACTGTCGTATTTCCTATATTGTCTCTCTATCCACAATAGTGGCCTCTTAAGGAAAGCCTCTCCTTCATTTGGTTAGCAATAAATCTCATTTTTTGAACATGCTTACTAGTACAACTAAAACTGTTTGCATGTATTTGCACATCATAAAACAAAACAGATTGCTGAATTCCCAATCATTTATTTATGTACATTACCCATTGCCCAATTTTCTTGTTTTTGCTCCACATGAAGTCAATTGTATCCCATCTTTGTCTCCAAACTTCCATATGGCTTCTTCACTTTCGTTTCTTCCCCTCTTCACTGTATTAGTAGAAACTGGTACCATTGTGATAACAATAAAAGGGATGATAACTATTCATTACATATTTTCTAGGTGACTATACGACTCTGTGTGTCACAGCAATTATAGCCCTACAAATACAAATACTACTCTTGAAAAACATTGTCATTTGTAATGCGCTTCTTTACGACACTGGTCACATTTAGTGAATTATTAAGTTGTACAGAGAGTGTATATTCAAATGTATTGGTATTTATTGATGCTTTTATTGAACAAACAGAGAAAATAGTAAACTATTAACCCCGACAATAAGGACAGTTTTGGTGGGTTGTAAACATTAATTGGAATTCATTGTGACAACAAATCAAAATCCTTATAAGAAATCCAGTACAATAAATATGATAAATGTTCACCCCTAGTTGTGCTCATTTGTTATTCAGTCAGTATCTCATATGACCAAAATTACTTAAATTGTAATCCTGTGAATTTATTTGTACAGAGTATGAAATCCTTTTATGAGTGTAATTCTGCCTTAAATAAGTTGCTCCAAGTTCCTCTATGGAACAGAAATATTGTACCTGGTTAATAATTATCACAACCCTGCTGCTAATGCTCAATGTTAAGCTGCAATTAATGGAACTCAATAATCCTGCTGATGTTTTATAGTAAATGTCTTTGAGGGGAATATGGGGGGATTATATGTCCCCTAAGCCATTGGGAGGCTAGGAACAGATGGACAAAGTGTCGACTCTGCATCGACTGCAAAAAAAGCAGCATTAACAAATTAATGCAGATAACAGAAGACGACAAAAAGGAAATGTGAAAGTTAAATAATTAATCCAAGTGGATTTCTAGTTGGAAAAACGTCTGAAGGATATTGCATTGCAGTAAAGTAAGAGGATAACTCAGATTTGAAACTATAGGTTAAGCACTTCCTTGGTCATAAGGCTAACAGTGATTCGCTTTACCACAACTGTGTGTCAAGCTTTCTTCCCTTGAGGTCACAGCCGTAGTTTCCTAACAAGCATGATGCACATCCTGCCACTTTATAGACACAAAGGATCTGGCATGACTCAAAGATGACTGCGAGTGATTGACTGCGAGTGATACAAGATGAACATCAAACTCCACGTTCTGACAAAAATGCCTCGACTCCTCCTGTGCAGACAGTAGCAGTAAAAGAGGAGACAGCCCAGCAGCAGATAGCCCTGGCTCTCTTTTGTCAGAACAGGAATCTGAACTATGTATGCTATAATCTAGTCCATACAGGAAACAGAAGAAAGCAGAGGAGTGAAGTGATTGGGAACGACGAACTTTCCTGTCGTCCTTAGCTTCAGATTGAAGTGAAGATAGAAAAAATAATGAACCAATGACTCTGTTGACTACTTTCTTAAATACAATGTAGTGCATGAAGTTTTTCAGCATCTTCTTTTACTTTGTAGCCCATCAAGAAAAAAGCAATTATAGAAGGAATGACTTTCCAAGAGGGAGTTACAACTAATCTTCTGCTATAAACCATGAAACTAAATTAACTCTGCCATATTGATATGTGCCACAGTTGGAATATTCAGTACATATTTCCTATGTGGTTTTCCTGTGCCAATTGTACTAGTTATCAACTCGTTTCTGTTTAACATGCTAACTAACTAAATGAGTGATT